ATGGGGGAAAGTCTTTCGGAACACAGATGTCAGACTGACATTAAAATCACTGTCCAGTACTCAGTGGAGTGCTCAGGCAGAGTCAACCAATGCACTGCGGAGAAATTACACCCACATTAGAGAGGCCTTCGGTGGTATGTGCAATGATGATAATGAGAAAAGTGATACTCGAATTGAGGCCGCTGGACTATGTGCTAAATAATAGGACACCTTAAAGATGGTGTTCATGGCACATTTCTGGGACGTTATACTTGACCGGTTCCACACTACAAACATGCACCTACAGAAAAGTGACATTGACATCTCTGTAGCAGCATAGCTTTTGTCTTCATTGAGGGATTTTGCGGTGGGACATCGAGACCAGTTTGAGGCTTTTGAAAGGGCAGCCTTCAATGTGACAGGTGTCTCTCAGTAATATGAGCACGATCTTCAGCGAAAGAGGAAACGCAAAACATTTGCAGATGAGAGCTCAGAGGAGAGGGAGAAGTCCAAAATAGAAACATTTTATGTGATCATTGATAAGCTCGTGACACGCCTTGAACATCGCTTGGACGCTTACAAGCGTCTGACCAGCCTCTTTGGAGTTCTGTTTATGTCAGATCAGGTGTCTAACAGTGATGTCAAAGTGGCAAAGGTAAATGCACTCTCCGCTGCATATCCATCAGACCTGGACATGAACTTTGCCAACGAACTCATCCAATTTCGATTGAAAGCTTTCGTGACTGCAGGGATTCATCTTCTTGGTTCTTTCGGTAAAGTCACGTAGAAGGGAAATAATAAAATAACAGGTCTGTCGGAAAGACAGCGTCTGAATTCAGACGCTGTCTTTCCGACAGACCTGTTCTTCACCTGAGGACGGCTGCTTGTGTTGTGGCCGAAACGTCGTGAGAATTATTTTTTGTTTTATTTTTATTATTTTATTATTTCCCTTCTACGTGACTTTACCGAAAGAACCAAGAAGATGAACTCATCCAATTCAAGTATTTCATGTCTGACTCTGAGGGTGAGAACTAAATTGCTTTAGACGTTGCAGGCACTTAATCTGCAGTCAGTGTTCCCCAATGTTTTCGTGGCACTTCGGATTTGTTTAACTTTGCCAGTGACAAACTGCCAGGGTGAGCGGACATTTCCCCTTGTAGGCAGAATAACAAATGAGCTGCGGAGTAGCATGTTGCCAAACGCGTCTCAGCTCATTGTCACTTATGTCAATAGAGTCAGACCTTGTCAGACAGCTAGATGTTGACGATCTAGTGGATGAGTTTGCGAGGAGGAAGGCAAGAAAGGCACCAAAATAAAAAAGCAGGGGGGGAGGGGGCTCCAATTGACATCTGCACAGGGGCCTCACGGGACCATGATCCGGCCCTGCAGCCACCCTTAGCCCCCAATCAACGTCCACGACCCACACAGTGTGGCAAAGACCTTCATCGTCCAGAAGTGGACGGACAATAGGCTGTGTGCATTGTTATTATGATGAAGATGTTGCACACTCCAAATGAAGGACGTGGGCAGGTGCTCCAAATCGAGGGCAAGCACATTTATTTATTGTGGTTAATATCAATCTTGTGAAGAACAGCACCGTCACTCTGTAAAATGCAACAGCGCGAGTTACACGCAGCAATTCTTCCGAGACGCCATTAACCACGTGGCTGGTTTACACGTGCGGTTATTTATTCATTAACTCTGCCAGCCACCTACAGGCCAGACTCGGTCATCACATGCTGCTGTACACACATGCATTGATGCACTGCACAGCACATCAGGACCTTCACAGAACCACACTTTACTCCCTTGCTGCACAAGGATATGATTAAAAGAGTGATCCATTCCTAATGTGCCACAAAGACTCTTAATAACTCACGCTCAGGAATGTATTCGTACAGTGCGTGAAGGTTGTCACCCGTTGGATTTCTAGACGGGAGATTTTGTTTTTAGGGCTTCCTTGGAGTGAAATGACAGCGTTAATGTTTCCACAATCAGCGCATCCGTGGAAGGACGTACTGTATTATACATTTTTCTTCTTTCTCAATCTTAATATGAATCCTTACTACTATAAAAATCCAGAAACCCTGATGTCGCGCTTAACTCCGTGACGCTATCATTAATAATCATGAGCGTGTGACGTCACTCCACGTGGAGCACCCCACTCATTAATAATCATGAGCGGGTGACGTCACGTAATATGGAGCACCCCTCGTTGATAATCATGAGCATGTGACGTCTCTCCGCATGGAGCCCCCCCACCCCTCAATAATAATAGTGAGCGAAACATTTTCGATTTAATATTTCAGATTTACCGCATTATACCTGTCCTTGGACGGGCTGTAGGCGAGTTATTATTATTCGAATTGCGATCAGTACTGTGTGCAACGGGCTTGTGCTACGGTATCCACATCGCAGCGAAAGTTTGCTGATTCTTTCATAAGAATTATAAGAACATAATCGTAATGTTCAGTTCTTTGTTTATCGACCGATAGATGAAGGCCACCCCACGCAAAGGCACTCACGGGGATTTGTTTGACCATACTTCACCGCACCGGTCATTGCGGGTTGGTGGAGTTCTGGGCGAGCGGTACCGGTATCAGTGTTTAAATATCACAAGGTCACTCGCCACCGATGTTAGCCGTGGGCAGGAGTCGAACACGGGAAAAAAATATCTTCACAGCGCACTTACCAGCTCCCTCCACGTTCACGACCTTTGCCACGCGACGTTTTTAAGAGCCAAATGTTGGTTTGGAAATCACCGCGGTCACGTTTACTTCGTGACTTGAACGTGTGATTTCGCGAGGCACTTTATTTCGCTCGCGACGTTTTTAAGAGCCAAATGTTGGTTTGGAAATCACCGCGGTCACGTTTACTCCGTGACTGAACGTGTGATTTCGCGAGGCACTTACTTTATTTCGCTCGCGAGTATTTCTTTCTTTGGCGAACTTCTTTAGGGGCCCCTGATTCTTTCCACAGCAAGCCACGTACAAAACACATTCCTGCCAGATTCACTAGCGTCGTGTTCGCTCCCTCTGGCAAACTCAACTGTACAATGGTAGCAGTGCTTTCATTCTTCTTGTTGCAACAGTAGGTAGTTGTATATTTATTTACTTGCTTTCAAAGCGATAGTTTTTTTTGTGCGTGCTTGGGTGGGCAAACCAAAGTCGTGGGTGGGGTGGGTGTGTGGGTGAGTGGTGGGGGTGTGGGTGAGTGGTGGGGGTGTGGGTGAGTGGTGGGTGTGTGGGTGGGTGGTGGGTGTGTGGGTGGGTGGTGGGTGTGTGGGTGGGTGGTGGGTGTGTGGGTGAGTGGTGGGGGTGTGGGTGAGTGGTGGGTGTGTGGGTGAGTGGTGGGTGTGTGGGTGAGTGGTGGGTGTGTGGGTGAGTGGTGGGTGTGTGGGTGAGTGGTGGGTGTGTGGGTGAGTGGTGGGGGTGTGGGTGAGTGGTGGGTGTGTGGGTGGGTGGTGGGTGTGTGGGTGGGTGGTGGGTGTGTGGGTGGGTGGTGGGTGTGTGGGTGAGTGGTGGATGTGTGGGTGAGTGGTGGGTGTGTGGGTGAGTGGTGGGGGTGTGGGTGAGTGGTGGGTGTGTGGGTGAGTGGTGGGGGTGTGGGTGGGTGGGTGGTGGGTGTGTGGGTGAGTGGTGGGTGTGTGGGTGAGTGGTGGGTGTGTGGGTGAGTGGTCGGGGTGTGGGTGAGTGGTGGGTGTGTGGGTGAGTGGTGGGTGTGTGGGTGAGTGGTGGGTGTGTGGGTGAGTGGTGGGTGTGTGGGTGAGTGGTGGGGGTGTGAGACACACGGTTAAAGAGTGGGAATGTTCGGGTGGGGTGGTGTAGCCGGAAAGAATAAAACCGTTCGAGTGGAAAACCCTGAAACTTTCATATTTACAGCAGACTCTAGATTATTACACCGTGTAACATTCCTTTTGTTCCTGGGTAGTAAGTGTTATTTCCTAATTGTTTATGCCTCAAAAGTACAGAAAATGGCTATTATTCCCCACAAACTTTGCTTTTGTGATGAGGACAGTGATATTTTGAAAATGTACCACTTTTCAAAGAGAAAACGGACAAAATTGTGTCTTTTTGTTCACATAAAGTCAGAAAAAAACTAAATATTAATACAAATTAACATGTATTTATTATAAAGTAATACCAAAAAGACTACAAAAGATTTAGACACCAAGATGCACTACCACAGGCGGGACTGGCCACAGCGGACCGAATTCTCTGTGGGGAGGAACAACGTCAAGTGGGAGCCACTGGTGGACCCCCGGAAGGTGCTGATGCCACCACTGCACATCAAATTGGGCCTTGTGAAACAATTTGTCAGAGTTAAATTTTGATTTAAAGCTTTCGTTACTGCAGGGATTCATCCTATTGGTTCTTTCGGTAAAGTCACGTAGAAGGGAAGTAATACAATAATAAAAATAAAACATAATAAAATAATTCTCACGACGTTTTGGCCACAACGCAAGCAGCCGTCCTCAGGTGAAGAATGAAAAAAAAGAACCGAAAGAACCAAAGAGTATGGGTTGAAAGGAGTTAGAGGCTGTCAGGGGGCAGATGAGAAGGAGCGACCTCACATTGAGCCAAAATCACACGGAATAGACTAAAACTAAACTCTTTGTATTTTATCAGGTAAGGCCCACTCAACTATTTTATAGCTCTTTTTCAGAAGCGACCTAGCCACAAATGATAGCTCAACAAAGTGGCTTATCAAGTGGGAAATGTATAGCAGCCAAATGCTCTAAACGCATGCTAAATCTAAAAGTGGAGGGAAAAACCGGAGGACCCGGAGAAAAATCAACGCAACCACGGGGAGAGAGACACGCAAACCGCAAATATACAACAGGCGTCAGGGTCGGAATCGAACCCACAAACTCCTGCGTACCAGGCGAGGTAGTCAACATCTCGCCACCGCGGCGCCCCTGCGCCAGCTCGGGTCAGATGTGCCAGTGGGAAAAAGGCAAATACGACGACCGCTAGCAACCTTTTGACCCTTGACCATGTGACCCCCCCCCCGCCCCCCAGATCCGCGTATGGCGCTTCATCAAGGGCCGCGAGCTGCTGCCGGCCTCCGTGACGGGGGCCGAGCGTCCGCGCGTCAGCGTCGAGGGATTCGGCGACGGCGCTCCCGTGTGCGACGCACGCGTGTCTCCCGGCGACACGCGCGTCTTCCTGCTAGCGCTGGGGCCCGGCGGGGCCCTCTCGCTGGCGTCCAGCGTCATCCGCGTCAGCATAGGCCAACCTGGAGGCCCTGGAGAACACCCTGGGTAGGTTGCACGACGCCGTGGCTGCGACGGCGGCGGCGTTGAAGGAGACCGTCGGTTCCGCCGGTTATGTTTCCATTTCCCGTAGTAACGTGAACGTGCGTCGAGATAAATGTTTACTTTATTTTTGCTGCCTTACAAATTTGCACGCGATGAGCCTCTTCGTTGAGCCGTCGCTTGCGGCCAGGTTGCTTCTGAAAACTAAGCTAATAGCTCAGTGGGCTTTGCCTGGTAAGATAAAAATTCGTTTAGTTTTTTTCGTATATTTTTTTAAGTGGTATATTTACCTTTCCTGTACTTTGCACTCCTATCGTGTTTTGTCATATTGGTTGTAACGTTCTGATGTGCCCCTTCTGGACATGTGTGAAAAATATCTGTATAGCTTATCGGATTCCTCCACTATAAACGAATACTATGATTCCTTTTTGATGATCAATCAATGGCAGCCATACCTCATGTGGCAAAGGTGTTTGAGCATTAAAAAAAACATATCGTGGGTAATAATTATTACACTGGTCAACAAAAAATAATTCTGGCCTGGACTTTTGCAGCTGTTTTAGATTAATTTCAGGGTGCTGATTCCAAATCTGATCTCAGATTTGCTCTATCACATCTCATTTTTATGCTATCGGCATACCCAATTTTCATTGATTTTACCCGCAATTAACTCTGTCACTTATGATTGCAAGTTTTTGCGAGTCAGTGACTGCTTTAGTGTTCAAATACGGTGATGTATTTTTAGGATAGTGTGTTTATAATATAATTTTATGTATAAATCCACATTTATTTAATATTTTTCTTCTGCAGTTTTTATTGAAAATTCAATATTTGATATCTCAAAAACCTGATGTGATAGAAAAAATTTGATGCCAGATTTGGAATCAGCACCCCAAAATGACCTTAAACCCGTTAGAATACCTTATGCCAGAAAAAGTGTGTTGACCAGTGTTATCAACGTGCTATGGTAATGCGCCCGATGCGCCCGAGGGTCAGGTTATTTTACATTTTACTTAAGCTGGCAAGTGGTGACCCCCCCCCCTCCACCCCCATATCCACATTGGGGGGGGTAGAAAAACATCTTTTGGCAACCCGAGGTGGGCGAGATGTCGTCGAACCCCTGCGGGGACCCCCCCCCCCCCCCCCCGTGGAATGACATCACACGTTCCTGCACGACGAATCCCGCCATCCCACAAGACACCACGATCGTCGTGTCCAGGGGAATCCTGGGAAGAGGGGGGCAGTCCTAGTGACGGCCGCCGGGGGCTTGTCACCGCGCGGGTCTTCGGCATTTGTACGATGGGGTAATCGAGCGCGTGCGTCTGGTTGCGTGGGGAGTGGTAGTGTAGTAGTGAGCACGCCGCGCTACGAACCCGGCGACCCGAGTTCGATTCCCGCTCGCGACCGACGATGGTGGCGAACATTTGAACTGGCCTTGGCCCTCCCCTAGTTCGACACCTGGTGCGGTGTGAGTATCAGCACTGGAGAGAGATACAAAGACGGCCGGGCGTGGTGCTGGCCACCCACCCCCTTCATAGGTGCTCACAATATTCACTTTTGTGAAACAGTCCCAGCAGCCTGTGCAGGCTACACGGGGGATCTTTGTCTTTGCACAAAAAGCTCCCCCGTATAGCCTGTAACAGACTGTGGGGGCAAGTGCTGCTAGCGAACACCTACGAAGGCTAGCCCGGCACACGAGGGGGGGGGTGGCCAGCACCACTCCCGGCCGCCTTTGTCTCCCAAGTGGCGATGATTTTTTTACACACTGCACCAGGTACTCATTTGAAGCTGAGTCGACCTAGGGGAGGCCCAGGACCGGTTCAGATAATATAATCGCTGTCACTGGTGTTGGCCGTGAGCGGGAATCGAACCAGGGTCACCAGGTTCATAGCGCAGCGCACTAACCGCTGCCCTACACACACACAAATACACACACAGACACACACACAGACACACACACAGACACGTGAGCATCATCAATGTATTTGCCTCCCGCGGGGGGTCAGTTGAGCATCTAATTTAATTCAGTGCTTGCGACTTGAATGGTGGCATTTTTCTTGTCCCAGAAGGGGGCTCAATTAGACGCAGATCAATTTCGCAAATGGGTCCCGTGCTGTTAGTTACTGCCATAGCCCCCCCTGCTCCCTGCCAGCTCCCCCCCCCCCCCAAGGGGCTGACGGGAAACACGGTGTATACCTCTGCACGTGGACAAAAGTAACAAGAAGAATGGGCCCAAGGGAAGAACGTGAATCTATAATAATAATGAATGGTCGGAGTGCTCGCGGTGTTGTAACCACTTAGTGGGCCCTGCCCTTGTGTAACGGTCGTGGCACGCGGCAGTGGAAACAAAGATTTTCTGAAATCCCTCCCAAAATCACCCACCTCGCCCCCCTACCCCAAATCACCGCATCAATCTGCGCAGTTCATTGACAGGTCACGTGGCGCTTGAGTAAAGTGTTCGGTGCTGCCATCTGAGCACCAAGCCGGTTTTCGCAGGTGCTCGCTGACAGAATTTTGCCCAACACTCAGCATGGCTGTAATAGCCGCAGAGACATGCGAACCGCGAGGGAGTTTACGCGTTCTCTTTCCAACGACAAGCACCTACCCGTCATCAACCAAGACCTCCACAATGTCACCTCGCCGCAGACTCAAGTCCCGATCGCCTTTCTTATCGCTGCTGCTGCTGCTGTCGCCGTGGTCATCCTAGAATCTCGTCAAGGTACGGAAGAGCGTCGATGCTGTGCGAACAGAGACCCATAGAGAGGCACAGCGCGGGCGTCGAGAATAAACATCTTCTCATCCGGGACCCAAAACATCGTCGCGCCTCCTGACTTTAATATTCCTCCTCAGAGACACCGGTGTGACCATCAACGGCATCAGCGCATCAGCGGCAGGCCGATGCTGTACCGCATCCCCCTTCATGAACGGAAAATCAAAGAAACAGCCAGAGCAGTGCGATTGTGGCCATGAAACCCACACTGTTGACCACATCGTAGACCACTGCAGTCAGCGCTCCATCAGAGGAGCAGCAGAATCGCACGAACCCTCTCTCCTGAAGCCCTCTCCTAGGTGGCCAGCAGACCTCGACATTGATATGCAGCGGTACATAGAGACCCATAGAAAAACATGAAATACGAGCCACATTCGCGGGACTGTGGCCATGCAGCTCACATCGTGGACCCATCAAAGTAAACCACTGCTGTGTTAATTCTAGATTTGAAGCTTTCGTGACTGCAAGGATTCATACTCTTAGGTTTTTTCGGTAAAGTCACGTAGGTATTCGCGCCTTCAGTGGAGGAGGGGGAACAGCGACACGACACGAAATCTCTCCGCTGAAGCCTTCTCGTCAAGTCCAGCAGCAGCAGCAGCAGGATCTCGATGTTGCCATTCAGCTCCTGAATATCTTGCTGCCGCCACCGTGTCAACTACCTCGCCTGGTCTACAGGAGGTCGTGGGTTTGATGCCGACCCTGACGCCTGCTGTATATTTGGAGTTTGCGTGTCTCTCTCTACCCCGTGGTCGCGTGGATTTTTCTCTGGGCCCTCTGGTTTTTCCCTCCACATTTCAATTTCAGTTTCATTTATTTGGTATAGCCCTGTGAGCCATTCGGCTCTTGAATCGGGTGCAACCGCAACAAACAAAAAACTAAAACATGAACAAGAAAACATCTTAAAGTGACTATGCGCAAACAGAAAAACCAGGAAAAAACGGCAAAGTCTTCCAGAAAAAAAGCACCGTACACCAACGCTGTGCAAAAATCCCAGTGGGATGCAAGTCAAACAACAACAACCCCAAGACAACTTCGATTAAAGCCATCATTCTAACTCCGTACTACAACAAACAAACATGGCCAAACCAAAAAACTTTTCGAAATCACCAAAATAAAGCCATAAGCAATGTAACAGTGATCATTTGGAATTAACATCACGCGTTTAGAGCATTTGGCTGCAAGAAATGTCAAGACGATGAGCCACTTCGCTGAGGTTTCATACGTGGCCAGGTCGATTCTTACAAAGAAAAAAAAAGCGCTATCGAGCTCAGTGGGGCTTTTCCCTTGTGAAGTAAAAAAAAAAGAAATAGTTTCAGATAATAATAATAGGGGGTTTCCCCTTTTTTCTGGCAACAAAACTGAAACCTTTTTTACAAGGATTCATTAACCACAATACTTGCAGTCAAATGCAAACAAAAAACATGCTATCTATATATATACAATTGTGAATCTGTCTGTCTGTGTGTCTGTGTGTCTCCGGACCATACGCACTTTCATTGGACGGCGGTTGCCCCTGGCAACGGCTAGCGACGCCTTCGCCGCTTTCATTGGACCTGGCAACGGCTAGCGACGCCTTCGCCAAGGGCTGCAGTTTCATTGGACGGCGGTTGCCCCTGCCAACCGCTAGCCACGCCTTCGCCACTTTCATAAGCTCCGTAAATAATTAAATATTAGCCATTACACAGTATTGTTGGCGCGCTAGGGGGGGGGAGGAACGCCACCCGTACCCTGCCTCTTCGAAGTCGACAATTTTAGGCGAGGCCGCAGGCTTTGCACGCTACTAGGCCTCGACACCCACCACGCCACTCTGAGGTAAATTCATCAAAGTTTTTCATACTCTTCACTACACCCCCACCACAATGTGTGCTATTAATATTACTTTTAAACCCAACGCGCCAACAATCGATTACTTTAATGTTCACTGTACAAATACTCATTAAGCTGGGTGAGCGTACTGACAGTCTATTATGTACACTGTAGCCTGCTAATTAAGCTCTGTCAGCGTACTGCCACTCTATCATGTAGACTCTAGCCTGCTTATGAAGCTGAGTGGCTGTACTGGCAGTCTATAATGTAGACTGTAGCCTGGTTATTATAATCGATTCTTTAAATGTTCTTTGTACAAATAGTCATTAAGCTGCTTTAGCGTACTGCCCGTCTATTATGTAGACTGCTGCCTGCTTATTCAGCTGGCTGGGTGTACTGCCAGTCTATCATGTACACATTAGCCTGGTTA